TATGTGGCAGTCGCGAGGGACAGCATAGTGTTGTCCGCCAAACCTACGTCTTCCGAGGCAACGACGATGAGGCGGCGAGCAATGTAGCGCGGGTCTTCGCCAGACTCGAGCATGCGAGCCAGGTAGTAGAGTGCGGCGTCGGCATCGGAGCCTCGAATGGACTTGTGCAGGGCGGATATGCTATCGTAGTGCTGGTCGCCGGCGCGGTCGTATACGAGCGTCTTTGTGAGGCTCTGCTGGATCTTTTCCTTTGTCATGTCGGGCTGTTTGGCAAGGCTCATGGCGAGGTCGAGGAGATTGAGGGCGGTTCGGGCGTCGCCATCTGAGAAGCTAGCAAAGGATTGCAGCATGGGCGTGTCAAGTAAGGGCAAGGTGCATTGCTCGGCCGCCATTGCACGCTCGAGGATGTGGAGCAGATGATCGTCTGCAAGGTCGTCAAGGGTAAAAGTGCGGCATCTGGACAGCAGGGCGGAGATAATTTTGAAGGACGGGTTCTCGGTAGTGGCGGCGATGAGGGTAATGGTGCCAGACTCGACAGGGCCGAGGAAAGCGTCCTGCTGAGTGCGGGAGAAGCGGTGCAGCTCGTCACAGAAGACAATGGTCTTGCGGCCCGTCAGCTGCAGGTCGCTGAAGGCTTCGGCAAAGATGGAGCGGACTTGTTCGAGCTTTGTGCTTGTGCTGTTGATCTCGACGAAGCGGGCGCCCGACGAGGTTGCGATGAGGCGTGCGATGGTGGTCTTGCCTGTGCCGGGACGGCCCCAGAGGACCATGGAGGGCAGGCGGCCTTCGTCTACCATGGCACGCAGCACGCCTCCTGGCGCGACGAGCTGCTGGCCGTAGACATGATCGAGCGACGTGGGGCGCATGCGCTCAGCCAGCGGCATGGCATCCTCGAGCGCCTTGAGCTTGCGGGCGCGCTTGGGGGCCGACGAGGGTGACTGGGCGTCGCCATCGGGGTGCAGCCTGTCAACCGATTGTGTGAAGGAACGCTTGGTGCGTAGTGGCGGTGTAGGCGGCCGTTGGAGGCGCTGTGCTGCAGCAGCGGCAGCGGCAGTTGTTGGTGTTGATGCTGAGGTTGAGCATATTGTGGTTGTGGTTGTCGTCGTCGTGGCGGGCGTGGGTGTGGAGCGAATGGCGTGGGTGAAGAAGTTGTGGGCCTTGGACGGGCCCTGGGTGGACGAGGTCGGGTCAATGATAAAGTCCTTGCAGCCGCTGTCAATGTGCTGGTTGATGCGGGCGTCGTGGACGGCGTGGGAGCAGATGGGGCAGTCGACCATGGTCGGATCGAGGCGGCCTGGCTCGTCACGGGTGCACGCGACGGGCAGTTTTTTGGGTGGACGCGACCTGCTACGACATGCGATATGCGACATCGGCTGCACCTCGGCCCCGACTCTGTGTCTGCCCCTCGATGACGATGGAGCGCCTTGAGCACGCAATCCCACCACCGCCCACCACCCACGGCCATGCGAGCAGCAATTGCCAGCCGTGCCCTCGCCCGAAGCATTCGCAGTCCTACCATCACCACCATTATTGCCCCCATCACTCCCATCATCTCCTCCCCCTCCCCGCGCAGAGCCATGTCGGCCACACCCCGCCGAGCCGACCCCTTCAAACCCGCCGCCAGGGTCGCCGGGCAGCGCCAGGACGTCTGGTCTATTGTCAACGAAGCTGCCGCCGCCTCGCCTGTCCAGCCCATTGTCAACATGGGCCAGGGTTTCTTTGGCTACAACCCGCCCGCCTTCGTTCTCGACGCCGCCAAAGCCGCCCTGGATCAGGTCGACTGCAATCAGTACTCGCCTACAAAGGGCCGCCCGCGCCTCAAAAAGGCCATTGCCCACGCATACTCGCCCTTCTTCGGCCGCGACCTCAACCCAGACACCGAGGTGACAATCACCACTGGCGCCAATGAGGGCATGCTCAGCGCCTTCATGGCCTTCCTCGAGCAAGGCGACGAGGTCATCGTCTTCGAGCCCTTCTTCGACCAGTACATCAGCAACATCGAGATGCCCGGCGGAAAAGTCGTCTACGTCCCCATGCGCCCACCTAAGGAGGGCGCCACAAAGACCACCTCAGCAGCAGAGTGGACCATTGACATGAACCAGCTCGAGGCCGCCATCACTCCGCGCACTCGCATGATAGTCCTCAACTCTCCCCACAATCCCATTGGCAAGGTCTTTTCCCGCGCAGAGCTGCAAGCAATTGGAGACTTGTGCGTCAAGCACAACATCCTCATCCTCTCAGACGAGGTCTACGACCGCTTGTACTATGTCCCCTTCACCCGCATCGCCACCCTTTCTCCCGAAATCGCCAAACTCACCCTTACCGTCGGATCTGGAGGCAAGAACTTTTACGCTACGGGCTGGAGAGTAGGCTGGCTCATTGGTCCCGAGCAACTCATCAAGTACGTCAGTGCCGCTCATACTCGCATCTGCTACAGCAGTGTCTCCCCCTTGCAAGAAGCCACGGCGGTTGGCTTCGAGCAGGCCGATGCCCACAACTTCTGGGATGACTCCAAGAAGGAGATGAAGGCCAAAATGGACAAGTTCACTGCCGTCTTTGACGAACTCAACCTGCCCTACTCAGACCCCGAGGGCGGCTACTTTGTCCTTGTCAACATGTCAAAGGTCAAACTACCCCAAGACTATCAATTCCCACCACACGTCGCAGAGCGCCCTAGGGACTTTCAGCTCAGCTGGTTCCTCATCAAGGAAGTGGGTGTCGCTGCCATCCCCCCGACCGAATTCTTTACTCCAGAAAATGCCTACATTGTAGAGGACTGGTTGCGCTTCGCAGTCTGCAAAAACGATGATGTCCTCGAGAGGGCCATGGAGCGTCTGAGAAGCCTCAAAAAATACATTCACGAATGAGCAAATGCATCAAAATACCAGAAACAACTCCTGCTATGGCGTCATAGCCAATTACAATTGCATTCGCCCAGTTCTGGTCCATGTACTACACGTGTCTCTGTAATCATTTTCTCGTTCTCTTCCTTGTCCTTCAGTCATCATCCGTATACGCCTCCCTGTCCTGGAAACGCAAAAATTCGCCTCCTTCTTGACCCGTCACTTTTTCCCACACACTCTTGACGTTATCGAGCACCCCATCATCAAAAGCAAGATCCATGGGTGGCGGCGGGAAGCGAATTATCTTCTCCGACCCACAAGGGAGAACATCGGATCCAGACGACGGTTGCTGTTGGTACTTGGCTGACCAAAGTACCTTTGGTGCCGGTGTGGTATTCATGGCAGAGAGAAGTGAATCGACTGCCTGATCGAGCAAAGTAAAGCCCTTTGAGCTCCCCAGTGATACCAGAGCATAGAGTACACCTAGTCGACAGTCAGCCATGTAATAACCATGATGATCCGCACATTGGTTTAGTAGATAGAGTGCCGTTGTATCAGTTTGTCAGAGGTATTGTCTTCAGTGGTATTCAGACAATGTAGATAAGATTTGAAAGTTTGTTCATCATAGAAGCAAATAGAGAGAGAGAAAGGGAGGGAAAACACTTACACTGGCCAGTAGGACATTCGCCGGTGTCGCTGGAATGCACATAGACATGAACTGGTGGGAGCTCTTCAGCTTCCGAACCTACCGTCAATGAGCCAGACGGAAAGACAACCACAGCCGTCGCCGGTGTTGGTGCCTCTTCCGCAATCGGGGGGAACAGGCTCAGCAATGAAGACGAGACAATGCTGATCGATCTGCAGCGCGTAGCCTCGGCACTGGTCGAGGAGCTTCCTCCTATGACCCACTGCGCAACAATCTCTTCGCCATCTTTCAGACGAAGTCTTGTGCCCTTGTCGTTAACCTCCGCAGCACCCTCAGTGGCTGGAGCAACACCTTTTCCAAGCACGTAGACTCCACCTCCAACCGCACACGCTCGACAGGATACCTGACTGATTTCGGACAAACCGCCCCATTTCGGCACAACAGCCCCGAAGCCAGGTCCAAACACACCGATTGACCGCAGATGCTTCGCAATTCGCGGCAGTGCAGTCTCCGTTGTCGTCTGGAATGAGTGCGTCGTTGATAGCGTGAGAGCCATCAATGGCGCCTGCAAATTTGCCGGAATCTTGAATTGCTTCCTGAGAAATACCGCAAATGGCTGCCGTGCAAACTCTTCCCAGACGTCGGTCTGTTCTTCGTAATCACCAATAAAACGCAAGAATTTCATCAATGCGCGCTTCGCCTTGAAGTCTAAGTGGTGATCCTGGAAGACATCTTCGCGACCGTTTGGCACCTTCAACAGTGTTCCAAGTGGAGGCGTGGTTTCTGGAGCTACAGAACTTTCGCTCTGTGCGTCTCTAGAGTAAACCCACCAGCTGCCGACAGCGAGAAACTCAAGCTGACGATAGACCCTTGACGAGACGAGGTATCCTAGAAGAGAGGAGCGAGCATACACTATTTGGGGACTCAAAGACAGGTTGTATGCTCTTGAAACCGATAGCCTTGGAGCTGGGTTGTCCGGGCTAGGTTCGGGCTTGGTGATTGTGATATCGGAGAAGGGAGTATCTATTGGTGCTTTGGAGATTCAGCAACAGCATACATGACTGATGGCTTTCATGCTTACCTTGCTTTAAACGCTGCGCCCAGTCCTCAGCTTCCTGTAAGCTAAAGGCAGCCTCGGCACCGCCGTAAAAGTCATCTTCATCGACATGGAGAATCTTCTTGTCCGAGCGTGACAAAGCTCTTCAAGTGCTGCGTCAGTCAGATGGCAACCCCCAAGCGCTACGAGACAAGGCACGTACAGAGCAAGAAGAGACTGCTGTAGGCCGGTGCCTACAATAAGCACATCCCATTCGGTCTTGTCGAGAGTTTCCATGTCAGAGGTACGGGGAAAGATGAGGGCTTGCAAGGACTTGTTAGCGCTAAGCTAGCGCACATGACTAAGCGACGCGTGCGCACAAAATCTGCAGACGGCTGCCCATAGACTTTCCTTCACCAACGCGCACGCCAAGGGCATCTCAGCTTCATGTATGGCCTGCCCCTAAGGCACCCAGATCTTCACTGAATTGGAAATATGCGCGTGAGATCAACCTGTCGTCCGGTATCTACTGCTTTGGATTTTATCTGAATTAGCGGCTCGAATGTGGCGATACATCCAACTGTCAATGACCTCTGCGGAGGCTGTGGTTTAACAAGGTGTCAAATGCACTGCCGCTCGCGTGTACTGTCTACTTTCCATCGGCTTCGTCCTCATGCGCCAAGGCAATATGCTATGCCCACGATGAAAAGATCAATCCCTCGCCTCGCCATCCTCTTCGTAGGCACTTAGGGCTTCTTCCCTATCCCACACTTTGTGTCCAGCCACCCACGTCTGAAGCACCTCGCCTTGCTCACTCAGCACGGTCAAATCAGCTCTTCTACCTTCTTGCAGTATGCCCCTCCCACCTTTCCCATCTATGCCCATAAAGGCCGCCACATTCTCAGTGATTGTGCCCACCGCTTCGGCAATGCCACACCCAGACCAAGCCATCAGGTTTCTCATACTTTGCTGGAGTGGGATACATCCCCCAATTAGGGTGTCGGTGCCGGCTATCGTAGCCCGTGTGCCACTCTTGACCTGTTCAAAGGGGATCTGTGAGTGGCCAGGGTAGGTTCCATCCTTGAGAGAAGCAAGCTCAATACTGTCAGTAATGACAATCGAGCGCTTGGAACTCGAACGGTGAAGTAGGGATACTGTGTTGGGATGGAGATGTTCTCCATCTGCAATGATGGTGTACCATGGAGGTGCAACCTTTGCTGTTTCTGACAGGGAGACTAACCCGGCCAGACCTGGGGCTCTGGATGCCCAGCTCGGCATGGCATTCAGCGTATGAGTCAGTCCGCTTGCCCCTGCACTGAGTCCGGCTAGGCCTTGTTCGTAGGTCGCAGTAGAATGGCCCATGGCGACTCTGATACCTTGAGACGTCAGTGATTTGATGAGGGCTGCGGAATCGGGTAACTCTGGAGCGATTGTGACGAGTCTGATAGCAGACTGAAGATGTGCAGATCCGTAGACATTGGCCGGAGGGACGGCGCAAGGTTGAAAGAGAGAGCTATTATGTGCCCCTTTCTTGGAAGGGTGTAGATAGGGCCCTTCTGTATGGGCACCTAGAAGCGAAGCTGATGAGGCTATATCCCGCGGGGTGAGCGATGGGAGAATCTGTCAACATATAAGTCATTTTGTCGGTATGCAATCCAGACATGGACAGGGGACATGCCTTTTGAAACTCGTCAGCCTGTATGGTGGGTAGCGTTGCCCAGAATCCAGTCACGCCCTGTGTTGCGTAGTACCTCGCCAGATGGTCAATCTTGTTTTCATAGCTTGTTTTGTCTTCAAAATGCGTGAAGTGGAAGCCATTGGCACCATTCGTGTGCAGCTCTAGAAAGCCTGGGGCGATTATAGCATCTTCCAAGTCGATTGCCTCGCCACCAATGTAGCCTTCTCTTTTGAGGATAAGCCCCGTCTCGTCAGAAATGACAATGTGGTCTTCGACGAGCTCGCCATTGAGAACATAGCGGCAATTAGTGAAGAGGGTGAACCAGCCCGACATATCCGGGTGCGTGCCCAAATGTAGCGTGTCAGCACACACGTAGACTAGTATCGCAGAAATTCGGTGCCGGTGGCTCGTTTGTCCAAATTAAACAATGGTACGTAGAGTAGTCAGAGAGTCGAGTCAAGCCCTCCTAAGCCGGGGGAGGGGGTGGCCGGGGGTGGCCGGCCCCGCGGAGCGCTGATTGGCCAAGTGACGCGATGCGCGTCGACGTCATAGGAGCGTAATAGCACGAACGTAGTACGAAGATCGTGATGCACCGACGACAATGACCGCATTCTCGTATCTACTTTGTAGTATATACTATACATACTACACATAAATATGCATACGTCGACAGGTATGCATGGTGCACAGCCAAGTGCCAGCAATACAGCCACAGTGGATATGCTGCCCGCTTCTGGTCGCGCCACAAGCAGAAGCCAAGGCTACACAATAGGCGCGTTGTGTGCTTCTGGTAGCCGGGCTGCACCTTCTCCAGGAGCAAGTGGTGCCTGCCTACTACGTCATGAATTTGGTTGCCAGCCTTCCGCCCCGCGCGCCCCTGGTCTCTGATCTTATCATTCCCTGCTTTCGCTCCTTCAGCCGTACATTGCCGCTAGCCTCATGCTCGATCTCTGCTCGATATATGTCCATTGACTCTTGCAACTCTCACGCATGTCCCTCTTGTAGACCTGGGCCGTCACTCATAGGGACTCCCATTTGACAATGGACTCACAGTACCAGCAGCAGCAGCAACAACAACAGCATGCCCCGGGCGGCCACTACTCGGGGCACAACCCCATCCCCACCGTCAAGCAATTCGTCGACAGTTTAGACAAGGACAAGAGAGCCCGCGACAAAAGAATCGATCAAGAGGCTGTCCAGAAGCAGGGGCAGCCCGCAACGGAGAACAAACTGCCAGAGAAACAGCTCAAGGGCACCGAGAAGCGAGTCACAGATCCAACCACAGGCAGGGAAGTTGTCATCGCCGATGTCAGCAAGGACATGATCAACGAGGTCAAAAATCCCCATATCGTCGTTCCAAATGCCAACCTGAACAAGGAAACGGTAGGCAACAAACACACCTTACCTTCCTCCACTTCTCAACTGACAATATTTAGCCCATCAAGACGGATCCCTCGCAATCGCTCCAGGACTACAAGCATAACCAGGATGTCACTGCACCCCCAGACCCAGTTGCCCAAGGTACCACAACCGACGTGCCCATCCACGGCGAAAAGACAAACGTCCTCTTCCACCCTACACCCTCAGTCAGTTATGAGCCCATGTTCAAGGCCCTCGAGGCCCGCGCCAATGTCCTCTGCGCAGGAATACTCGTAGGAACCGTTGTTGTCGGCAAGATCTTTGGCGGCGCGCTCAAAGGCCTTGTTCCTCTAGCCATGTGCTTAGCATCAGCTGTCTATCTTTGGATGAAGGAAGTCATCCGCAGTGGAAGAGAGGTGGAGTGGGACAGCGAGCAAGTTCGTGGTCAAATGGTAAACTTTTCTAGAAATGATTCCTGCTCAATATTCACTAATCACAAACCACCTAGGCCTCGCTGAACTTGCTTCCAGAGTCAGTCGAATGGATGAACACGTTTCTCAGTATCGCCTGGGGCCTTATCAACCCTGAAATGTTTTCGGGTGTTGCCGACATGCTGGAGGATGTCATGCAAGCTTCAGTTCCTGGAGTCATTGAAAATGTTCGTGTCGCTGAAATCAACCAAGGCAGTAACCCACTGCGCATCCTGAGCTTGCGAGCACTGCCAGACTCACACATGGGTGACATGAAGGCATCCATTCACGAAGAGAACAAAAGGAAGAAGGACCCCCAAGAGGCAGCAGCAGACGAAGAGGGCGGTGATTACTACAATCTCGAGGTCTCCTTTGCATATCACGCCAGTCCCAACGGCAAGCGAGTTTCTGATAGGGCGCGCAACATGCATATGCAGCTGGTCTTTTACTTGGGCATCAAGGGCCTCTTTGGTGTTCCTCTACCTATATTTGTCGAGTTGCAGGGGCTCGTTGGCACAGTCCGCTTACGCTTAAACATAGCCCCCGACCCTCCCTTCCTCAAAACCCTCACTTTCACGTTGATGGGTACACCGCAAGTGACGGCAGGCTGCATCCCCATGGTAGAGAAGGGAGTCAACCTTCTGAACCTTCCGTTGATTAGCAACTTTGTCAACTATGCCATCAAAGCGGCAGCCAGTAGTATGTCCACTTCCACAACACGTGGCCCATCTGAAAGATGCTAACAAAGATAGTGTATGTCGCCCCTAAATCCATGTCCATTGATATGCGCGCCATTCTTCAAGGTGACTCGGTTCAGAAGGACACTGAAGCGCTTGGTGTTCTGTGGATTCGCATTCATCGTGCCATCGGTCTGAGCAAGCAAGACCGACGCGGATCAAAGCATGGTGGCAGCGATCCATATATCACGATTGCCTTCTCCAAATACGGAAAGCCAATGTACTGCACCCGGGTCATCACAGACGACCTTAACCCTATATGGGAGGAAACGGCGGCCATTCTTGTTGGCCCTGAACTGATCAAGGCGAATGAAAACTTGAGTGTTGAGCTTTGGGATTCCGACCGACACACTGCCGACGATATTGTTGGAAAAGTGGAGATCTCCATGCAGAAAATGATCCAACATCCTGGCAAAATGTACCCGCAAACCTCCAAGTTGGCCGGCATGGAGGCTGGTAGCGACATGCCAGGAGAGTTGCACTGGGAAATTGGTTATTTCAGCAAGCCTAAGTTTAGGAAAGAGTTGCGTTCGGATGGTAAGAATAAGGCTCTTCCCGGTGAGCTGAGGGACGAGCCTGCGCTGCAGGATGATAAGGGTGTGATCAACTCCGAAACTGACGATGCTGTTATGCACACTCCGCCTGATCCGCTGTGGCCCAGTGGTATTTGCAGCGTAGTCGTACAGCAGATCGTCAACCTCGAACTAGAGAACGTAAAAGGAAGTTCTAATCCCAAAGGCCGTGAGTATGAGCCTGCGAAACCTTATGGAGAGGGCAAAAAGGAGACTGGCGAAGACCTTCCTAGCAGCTATTGTACAATTCTCTTTAATGATGAGCTGGTATATCGGACACGTACAAAGGCAGTCACGTCTCAGCCAATCTTCAACGCGGGAACCGAACGGTTTGTGCGTGACTGGCGATCAGCCATCATCACTATCACTGTGAGAGACCAGCGGCATAGAGAACATGACCCTATCCTTGGCGTAGTCCCATTGAAGCTGTCAGGTATGTACCTTTTTGATCCATAAAGCGCTGAGAGACCATCTTCAGGTTTATTTACACCATTCCAGACATTCTTGAGACATCGTCCCAAGTCACACGGTGGTATCCCCTTGACGGAGGCATAGGGTTCGGTCGCATACGTATCGCACTTCTATTTCGCAGCATTGAGACTCGCCTGCCTCCTCAGATGCTTGGCTGGGATGTCGGTACTTTTGAGTTCCGATCTCAACGTATACTGGCTCTAGGCTATACCCATTCTCCAAAACTTCGCATGCGCACTGGTGGCAGTACTGGCAAGATCAACCGCACTGCTGCACACAAACTTGAGGAGGGCGATGGATATTATTGGGATCTCGAAGAGGAGAATAGGAAAAATGCTGTTCGCCTGCCCGTCAAGCATCGGTACAGGTCACCCGTTGTCTTTGAGTTCCACATCGCCAATCATCGCAAGCCAGATGCCTACGCAGTGGTCTGGCTTCAACATTTCATCGACAACGAGGATGTCGATATCAACATCCCAATCTGGAAGACATCAGCTCCCGCTCGGCTCACACAAAATTACATCACCGAAGAAAACTGCCACAAAGAACCAGGCCTTGAGGATCTCCAAGAGGTTGGGCGACTGCAGTTTCGTGGTCGTTTCAAGGCAGGAATGGACAAATCTCACGCTGCTTTTGTGACGGATAATGACACCCGTGAAACATATGAGACTTGGGAAGTATGTGTCACAGAAGGCGTGCGAAACCACATTGTCGAAAAGGAGCTGCCAGACCGTGTAAGGGAACTACACGAGCAATCATTGACAACAGGTCGTGATATTCTCAAGAATGCGAGCGAGGAGGAAAAGCGTAAGTGGCTCGCGAAGGATGGGCAGGACTGGTCAGGCGCTTTTGGTGACAATCCTAAAGCATATATGAATACCAGACGGCAGAAGAGACGTGAGCCTGGCATTGAAGAACCACTACATGATCGTCACCATCCATCAGACAACGAAGCAAATGACGATTCCGACGATGAATATGGCGAGGAATCATCTTCGTCGGACATCGGTGTACAAGATGCTGATACCGTCGGCGATGCAACGGCGTTCAACGGTGGCAAAGACAGTAAATCAAATGGAAAACTGAGGTCAACGAAGACAGATTTGTCGCCTACAGATGATCATCTACCCCGACAGTCACAGTCAACAGCTCGAACGAGCAGTACTGTCGAGACGGACGACACAACATTGAGTAAGGATCACAACCGACAAAACAAACGGGCAGAAGAGAGAAAGCATCGGGGACTGATGCAATGGAAGCCGGCACGCAATGCAAAGTTCGCAAAGGACGAAGCTAAAATTGGGCTGTCCAAACTAAAAAAGAAGGTTACAGGGGGCCTGGACGGACGACAACCCGGCGTTGAGACTGGTAAGTTTTTTATGAGGAGCTTTCATATCACGCTTTGTCACTAACATAATCAAGAAACCGGGTAGAGCGCAATGCCTTGCGAAGCCACGAAGAAGAGCGTGGCAAGTGAACCATATCCCCTTCTGTTGGGTGCTTTATCCATCGTGTGAAAACATTTCCATTAAGGGAAGGGGCGCATGGATCTATTGGGAAATAGTATAACGAATTATGTACATCCTGCAGGCTGGCAAAGAGTTTGCGGGACGATCCATGTAGTATTGTTAATATTGAATAACCATCTCGTCATTACACGTGGGCTTTGCACTGTACATGTATTGGGACATTTCAGGCCATATACACAATTTGGGAAGATCACAACAGAATAACATAATGGTAACCTAGAATCTTTGAGCAGATTGATAGCAAGTGCGAGGTTCTTGGCGTAGTGGGCGCATTTATGATACTGTGACCGTGAATGGG